TTTCATTCTTCTGCATGCGGATAGCTAGTGTTCTAGATGCCACTTATTAAAGAGATTATTTTTCTCCATTATGTGTTCTTGGTACCTTTATTGCAAATCAATTATTTGTAAAAGTGTGGGTTTAATTTTGGATACTGTATCCGGTCTCACTGGTCAATGTGTCTGCTTTTGTGATAATATTATGCTGTTTTGATTACTGTAGTTTTGTAGTATATTTTGATGTCAGGCAGTATGCCTTGAGCTTTGCTCTTTTTGCTTATAATTGTTTTAGTTACTGAGATCTTTTTGTGGTTCCATACAACTTTTAGGACTTTTTTTTTTTTTTATTTATGTGAAAAATGTTATTGTAATTTTAATAGGAATTTCATTGAATCTGCAGATTACATTGGGTAGTCTAGATACTTCAGTATTTTTCCAATTTATGAATATGGGATATCTTCCCCAATTTGTGTTTTTGTTCAATTTCTTTCACCTAAATTTTTGTTGTTGTGCAATTATTTAACACTCTCACTTTAACAGTAGACGCCTTGTGAGGCTGGAAGTTTGTTGTAACTCAGCCAAGTGCAAGATGAGGTCTAGTGTTTATTTTCAGCAATTATAGCCTTGTGGCTCTAGGAGATGAGATTCTCTCTCAGGGCACACTAGAAGCTCTTAAATTATTTATGCATTGCCTGAGCCAGTAATTCAAATCTCTGAGCTCATCCGTTTAAAAATTACTTTGTCCAGCAACATTAGGGGTAAGCAACTGACATAATTATATTCCTTAGTTTTCCACAAGTGTTTGAAAGTGTCATATACAGAATCACTAAATTACATGCCTCTTACAAGTGGTTGATCAGGAGTACTCAATCCAGATGTTTTGTGTATCACAATAAGCAGTTCATCCCATTAATCCTGTAGACTATTAGTGCTCCCTGCACTGTTGGAAATAGACTCCTTAGCACTTGAAGTCCAATCAGATTAGAAAGCAAACTCTAGAAACCCCAAAACCAATTAAAGAAACTCATCCTAAAAGTTCTATTCCCCTAGAATAACTCCTGGTGCCACAAATCTGTATTAGGGTTCTTTAGAGATGTTGATCAAGATTTATCATGGGAGTTGGTTGACACATGATGGAGGGGCATAAGTCCCATGATATGCAACATGCAAGCTGGAGAAATGAAAGCCAGTGGTGTAGTGCTGTCCAAGTCCAACACAGCCTGAGAACCTGGGGGACACTAGTTTAAGTCCTGGAGTCTGAAGGCTAGAAAACTTACAGTTCTGATGTCCAAGATCAGAAGAAGGGTGTCTTAGCTCCAGAGAGAGGGTGCAAATTTGTCTTTCCTCTGCCTTTTTGTTCTATATGGGCCCTCAACCATTGGATGGTGCCTGTCCACATTGTGTGAGGATGGATCTTCCTTACTCGGTCTACTGATTCAAATGCCAATCTCTTGAGCAACAGCTTCACAGACATAGCCAGAAATAATGCTTTAGCAGCTCTCTGGATATCTCATAATCTAGTGGAGGTGACATCTAAAATTAACAATCACACTAGGAGAAGATAGATCACTTCTGGAGCTTGAATCTTTATAAAAACAGCCAGATGTATCCATCTTCTGTGTCCTCATCCTGGCCCCTAAGTGCAATGATTAAGGAATAGGATATGGCTGCTGGGTTTTTAGTTCTAACTAATAACTTTTAGAGTACTTATGGATCTTTACATATAGAACCGAAGACCTGCCATATACGTATATAGCTTATTCCAAAATAGAATATAGAATCGTCATTAAAATAGGATATACCTTTTCTGAAAGTAATTATATGATGTGTGGGGGAAAGAGAGATCATACTGTCACTGTGTCTATATAGAAAGAAGCAGACATAAGAGACTCCATTTTGTTCTGTATTTGAGATGCTGTTAATCTGTGACCCTAACCCCAACCCTGTCCTTGCAAGAGACATGTGCTGTGGTGACTCAAGGTTTAACGAACTTGGGGCTGTGCAGGATGTGCTTTGTTAAACAAGTGCCTGAAGGCAGCATGCTTGTTAAAAGTCATCACCATTCTCTTAATCTCAAGTACCCAGGGTACTGTGGAAGGTCGCAGGGACCTCTGCCTAGGAAGCTAGGTATTGTCCAAGGTTTCTCCCCACCTGATAGTATGAAATATGGCCTCGTAGGAAGGGAAAGACCTGATCCTCCCCCAGCCTGACACCCGTGAAGGGTCTGTGCTGAGGATTAGTATAAGAGGAAAGAAGGCCCACTGGCAGTTGAGATAGAGAAAAGCATCCATCTCCTGCCCATCCCAGGGCAATGGAACATCTCAGTGTAAAACCCGATTGTATGTTCTATTTACTGAGATAGGAGAAAACTGCCTTAGGGCTGAAGGTGGGACTTGCTAGTGGCAATGCTGCTCATTATGCACTAAAAAGGTTTATGGAGATATTTGCATATGCATATCAAGGCACAGCACTTTTCCTGAAACTTATTCATGTCACAGAGATCTTTATTCATGTCTTATTGCTGACCTTCTCCCTGCGATGATCCTATTATCCTGCCACTTCCCTTTTTCTGAGATGGTAAAGATAATGATCAGTAAATACTGAGGGAACTCAGAGACCGGGTGCCAGTGTGGGTCCTCTCTATGCTGAGTGCCGGTCCCCTGGGCCCACTTTTTCTTTCTCTATACTTTGTCTCTGTGTCTTATTTCTTTTCTGAAGTCTCTGGTTCTACCTAACGAGAAACGCCCACAGGTGTGGAGGGGCAGGCCACCCCTTCATGATGTTCGCACGTCCCTGTGTTCCAGAACCAGGCACTGCTTGCATTTGGAATGAATGGCCCACAGACAGTCAAAAGGACAAAGGAAAGGATGGGTGCAGCTATACATTAATAGGCTCACAGATAAAAATACACAAAACACACTCAATAAAATAAATTACTTATAGCTTATTTTTACATAAAAAATAGCAAACCGTAATACTTTTACTACCTTCTAGGCATATGGTTATGGAGCACTTGAAATATGGCTAGTCCAAACTGGGATATGCTGTAACTGTAAAATGTATTTTGAAGATTTAGTATGACAAAATGCAAAAACTCAATTTTTATATCAATACTGGTAATATTTAGGTAGATTATATAAATTCGTTTCACTTGCTTTTTACCTTTTTATTTTTTAATTTTTTTTTTACAGGCAGGGTCTTGCTCTGTTCCAGGCTGAAGTGCAGTGGTGCAATCATAGCTCACTGCAGCCTTGAATTCCTGGACTCAAGCAGCCCTCCTATCTCAGCCTCCTGAGTAGCTGGGACTATAGGCACGTGTCACTACACCTGGCTAATTAAGAAATATTTTTTAAGAGATGGGGGCTTTCCTATACCATGGTGTGGTATCTTCCTATACCATGGTGGAATGAAATTAGAAATCAATGCCAAAAGGAACTCTCAAAACTACACAAACATGGCCAGGCGTGGTGGCTCACACCTGTAATCCCAGCATTTTGGGAGGCCGAGGCGGGCAGATCACCTGAGGTCAGGAGTTCAAGACCAGCCTGGTCAACACGGTGAAACCCCATCTCTACTAAAAATACAAAAAATTAGCCAGGTGTGATGGCGTGCGCCTGTAATCCCAGCTACTTGGAGGCTGAGACAGGAGAATTGCCTGAACCCAGGAGGCGGAGGTTGCAGTGAGCCGAGATTGCACCATAGCATTCTGGCCTGGGTGACAGAGCAAGACTGCGTCTCAAAAACAAACAAAAACTGCACAAGACATGAAAACTAAACAACTTGCTCCTAAATGACTCCTGGGTAAACAATGAAATTAAGGCAGAAATAAAAAAATTCTTTGAAATGAATGAAAATAGAGACATAACATACCAAAACCTTTTGGGATAAAGCAAAAGTAATGTTAAGAGGAAAGTTGATAGAATAAATGCCTACATAAAAAGACAGAAAGATCTCAAATTAACAACCTAACATCGTACCTCAACCTCAAGGACCTAGATAAATAAATGGTGCTGGGAAAACTGATTTGCCATATGCAGAAGAAATAAACTAGACCCTTACCTCTCATCATATACAAAAATTAATGCAAGATGGATTAAAGACCTAAATGTAAGACTTAAAACTATTAAAATGTTAGAAGAAAACCTAGGAAAAACTCTTTTGGATGTTGGCCTTGGCAAAGAATTCACAATGAAGACCCTAAAAGCAAATGCAACAAAACCAAAAATAGATAAATGGAACTGAATTAAAATTAAAGGCTTCTGCACAGCAAAATAATCAACTAAATAGACAACCTACATAATGGGGGAAAAATATATGCAAATTATTTCCCTGAGATAGGATTAATATTCACCATCTAGAAGGAACTAAAACAATAAGAAAAAACCCCAAACAATCCCATTACAAACTGGGCAAAGGACGTGAACAGACATTTATCAAAAGAAATACAACTGACCAACTAACACGTGAAAAAATGGTCAACATCACTAACCATTACAGAAATACAAAAACCACTCTGAGATATCATCTTATACCAGTCACAATGGTTATTATTAAAAAGTCGTAAAACAACAGATGATGGTGTCAATGTGTAGAAAAGGGAACATGCGATAGTTTGCTGAGAATCCCAAGAACAGAAAACCAAACACCACATGTTCTCACTCATAAGTGGGAACTGAACAATGAGAACACTTGGACACAGGAAGGGGAGCATCACACAATGGGGTCTGTTGAGGGGTGGGGGAGAGGGGAGGGATAGCATTAGGAGATATACCTAATGTAAATGACAAGTTAATGCATGCAGCACACCAACATGGCACATGTATACATATGTAACAAACCTGCACGTTGTGCACATATACCCTAGAACTTAAAGTCTAAAAAAAAAAAAAAGGAACATGAATACTCTTTTGGTGGGAATGTAAATTAATTCAGCCTCTGTGGATAGCAGAGATTTTTCAAAGAAGTAAAAATAGAACAATCTCATTACTGGGAATCTACCCAAAGGAACAGAAATTATTATATAAAAAAGATATCTGCACATGTATGTTTATTGCATCAATATTTACAACAGCAAGTTCATGGAACCAACTTAAGTATCTACCAACAATTGACTGGATAAAGAAAACGTGAGAGAGAGAGATATATAGAGATACATATAAATGGAGTATTATGCAACTATAAAAAAGAATGAAATCATGTCATTTGCAGCAACATGGATGGAGCTGGAGGCCATTGTCTTAACGTGAACTAAATCAGAAGTAAAAAATAAAATATTGCATATGTTCTCACTTAAAAGTAGGAGCTAAACAATGGGTATACACAGACATAAAGATGCAGATTAGACACTGGGGACTCCAATAGGGTAAAGAGTGTGAGGGGCAGTAAGGGTTGAAAAATTACCTATTGGGTACAGTGTTTAATACTTAGGTGATGAGTACACTAGAAGCCCAATTCCCACCATTATTCAATACACCCATGTTACAACAAGCACATATATCCCCTGGATCTAAAATAAAAATTAAAAAAATCCCACATTATCAATAAAAATGTGGCACAGTATGTTCAATTTTCTTTTCTTTCTATTTCTAGCATACAAGTGAGACCTTCTCGGCTATAAAGGAACCTGTCCATAAATCACTTAAAATGTGACTGGTTAATGATTTTTAGTAAAATACACCATGATATGTTTTTATTGGTTAAAGGCAATTTATTTTGAAATGTTGCTTTGGTTGTTTGCTTTCTGGAAACATACTGGAACATTTGTTTTTCATAAGCTGTCCTGGCAGTGGCACAATCCCATCCATTTTTTAGGCCTTTTAATAAGGTCATTATGAAATCTGAGTTTCTAGGAATACTCTGGTGCACTCACTTCATCTGCAAAAGCAACTGGCACAACCACCCCTTGCCGGTGCAGCTCTCGGAGAACATCTAATATTGAGTCTAGTTCTATGCGGAACTTCTCCAGCTCACGATTCTTTAACTGTGCCAGTCTTTTCCATTTTTCAACTTCTTTGTTTTGCTCAGTTTCCACTGCTTGGTGTGTTTGCTGTATTATCTGCAAATACAAAGATTCCACATTGCTATCATAGTTCATAGTGGTGGGTGAGGAACCTTTAACAATCTTAAAGTAGGCAAACCTGGGGTTTCTTTGGGGAACTCAGGTAAACTATAATGCTCTGCATGGATGCAGCATTTTCTGTCTTCAAGGAGTATATACATCCCAACTGTGTTAGGGACTAAATGTTTGTGTCCCCCTCAAATTCATATGTTGAAGTCCTAACCCTTAATGTGGCTGTGTGTGGAGTAAGGAAATAATGAATGTTAAGTGAGATCATAAGGGTAGGGACTTGATTTGATAATAATTAGTGTTTTCACCACTAGAGACACCAAAGAGATTCTCAGCAGAAGAGACACCAAGGAGATGTCTCACCCCTCTTCCTCACCTCCGCGCACATGGCACTGAGGAAAGATCATGTTAGAATGAGAAAAAAGGTGGCTATCTGCAAGCTGGGAAGAGAGACCTCACCAGAAACCTAACTGACCAAAACCTCAATCTGGGACTTCTGGCCTACAGAACTGTGAGAAAATAAATTTTTCCTGTTTAACCACCCAATTTATGGTATTTTGTTACATCAGCACAAGCAGACTATATACTGTTCAAACAAGTAAAATTTCAGCACCAAGGCAAGTGCCTAAAAACACATCATGCCTTTAGATCTGCTATTTTAATTAATCTGTTTGTAATTAAGTATAGTAATATTACTAGTGCTAGCTATATAATTTAAATAATCATATTAAAACAATTTATTTCTTATAAACATTTGCTGAAATGACTTGAATATGGAACACCATGCCTTGTTCCAGGGTAAGATGTGTAAGTTTTTAGGAACCCATCAATAATTGAGAACATGATACAAAGTTTTGCTTTTTTTCCAGATATAAGGATACCAATCTTCAAGCACTTGAGATATAAAGTCTCATTTTTCTTGTAAAAGTTATAAATTTATTAAATTTTTAACAAGATCAAAATACACTGGAAACACTTTGTGGTAATTTTTGCTAGGGATGACAAAACTATAGCAAAGTAAAGGCATTTAAAAGTAAAGACCTATATAAATATGTAAAATGATTTACTTTACCTGTTGAAGTTCCAGTTCTCTTTGTGCATGTCTCATTTCCATCTGCTTAATTTTCTTTTCTAAGCCCACGAAATGTTTCATCTCTGGTGTATGGTTTTCTTTGGCTTCTCTCAATTCTTCTAAGAGTTTTGTAACCTAAAATTGACATTGAAGCAAATTGAAGCAAATGAAAACCTATGATCACAAGAACTAATTATTTTTTAATAGGTAATCTTGAAAATCAGAATATTTGTATAAAATTTCTCTATATATGTTAGAGGCATCTTAGATTGTTAGATTAATTAATAGCTTTCATTCTCTATATCCAGAAAGTAAAGGCTCATCCTAGCTCTGAGTTGACCTCACAGTCTAAGAGGTTCCAGATGAATGGACCATTTTCTACCTCCCAAGTATGGCAGTCTGGTAAAGGGGCTGAAAATGAAGTTGGCACGTTATTTAATGCATTAAGTTTCACTACAACGTATTTGTTAGTAAGGTGGTTACTTTCAGAATTTGAAAAAGTATATTTAAAGCACTCAACACAGTATAGTGCCCCATGCACAGAAAGAGTTCAATGAAAATGTATTTTTCTTCTGTTAACTCCCTATAATTCTATTTGTAATTCTCTATGGCCCTATCACTTTATAATTTGTAGTAGTTCATTCCACAAATAAATGTAGACATATAAAAACAGAGATAAGGAAGTACTGAGCCCTTTCTGTGTTGGCTGCTGTCTTAGGACCTGGGGATCCAGAGATTAAAGACATAGACCCCACCCTCATAGAGTGTAATGCAGTGCCTTCATATTGAGCTTGGGAAAACAATTAATTGTATCTTCTTTATTCCATACAATCATGAACACAAATTCCAACAAGAATCAGATCTTGCTAATTGTTTACATCAAAAAGCAACAAAAACCAAATGAAAATGGATAGAATTAACAATCACTCCTGTTTTCTATGAAAACACCCATTACCTAATAACAATAATACCAAAAAATCCCAGTATCTTACCTACATTAGTTGAAAAACATGCAAAGATACAAGCAAATTAAATCAAAGGCAATCTATTTTAAATGTGGAGCGTCCCTGATGGTATCATCACTGAACAAAGAACTATGCAGACTATCCTTGGGATGGTTTGCAGAGAGCTCAGGGAGAGGCCTCACAGAACATGCTGTGCTGATGAGTGTTGGTTGGGCATAAAAACTGTATGTGTGAAAATAGTGTTTACTAAAATGATTGTTTAAAGAACTAATGATGACTAACCGAAGAAAGCTGATAAAGGCACAGTCATACACAGAATGGTCAAATATTACTTCAATTCCTGTAACCTTTTTAATGGTTGAAAAATGAATTTGAGTAACATTTCCAGCTGTTACTATCTTGTGATATACCTGTTCCTGGTACACCAGTTAGGAAGCTCCAGTTTTCTGAATGAAGCAGTCAAGTGAATGAGAACTCTAATATGGTGTGCTGTGATACAGAGATGGCCAATGAGTAGTGAGATAAGTGAGAACACCTCACTCGAAGAGAAGATGGGCCACAGAGAATTCCTAAGGCAGCTGTGCTTGAATTGAGTCTTAAAGGGTAAGTAGTAGTCAGTCATTACATTATGATGTGCTAGGCATTAGGCTAAGCACTTTACAGATGTTGTCTCATTTTTTATTAAACCTTATATATGTTTACTGTCTGATTCCTCACATAAAATGTAAACATCATAAGAGCAAAGATTTTTGTCTTTGTTCTCCTCACTATTCCTAGCACCTAGAGCTGCCCATGGCAGAGAGGTAGATGTTCAACAATTATTCATGAATTAATTAGTGCATTCACCTTTCGATGATTAAACATTCATTGGTAAATCATATAAACTTAGAAATCTGGTTTTAGAAAAATAGAGAAAATTTCCTTTTAATTGCATGTACCTAAAAGAACCTTTAAGAATATAATGAAAATTGAATATGTATATATATTTTAAAAATCCTTTTATTTTAATGAATTATCCTATAGAGATAACTTAATAAACACATATGAAAAAAAACACTTCCTGCTATGTACATATTATTAAAAAAACTGGAAACAACCCGCATACCAACAATAAGGGATTTGTGAAATAAATTAGTAATGATTAATAAGAGCCTGAGACCTAGAGTCACAGGCAACAGGTTCTAATGGTGGCATTTCTATATGGTGGTTGGTAAGCCTGGACAAGCTTTTTCACTTTCCTTAGCATCAGTATCTTCATCTAAAATAGGAATAATAGTAGTAACAACTCTTTTGGTTGTGATGAGAATCAAATAAAATAAGGCATATAAAACACTTTGTACAGTTCCTAGTACACATTAAACTTTAAAAAAAAATTATACTTTGTTCTGGAGTACATGTGCATAGGTTTGTTACATAGGTATACACGTGCCATGATGGTCTGCTGCACCCATCAACTTGCCACCTACATTAGGTATTTCTCCTAAGGTTATCCCTCCCCTAACCCCCAACCTCCCAACAGGCCCCTGCATGTGATGTTCCCCTCCCTACGTCCATGTGTTCTCATTGTTCAACTCCCACTCATGAGTGAGAACACGCTGTATTTGGTTTTCTGTTCTTGCCTTAGTTTGCTGAGAATGATGGTTTCCAGCTTCATCCGTGTCCCTGCAAAGGACATGAACTCATTCTTTTTTATGACTACATAGTATTCCATGGTGTGTATGTGCCACATTTTCTTTATCCAGTCTATCACTGATGGGCATTTGGGTTGGTTCCAAGTCTTTGCTATTGTGAACAGTGCCACAATAAACATATGTGTGCATGTGTCTTAATAGTAGCATGATTTATAATCCTTTGGGTATATACCCAGTAATGGGATTGCTGGGTCAAATGGTAATTCTAGTTCTAGATCCTTGAGGAATTGCCACATTGTCTCCCACAATGGTTGAACTAATTTATACTCCCACCAACAGTGGGAAAGCATTCCTATTTCTCCACATCATCTTCAAAATCTGTTTTTCTTGACTTTTTAATGATCACCATTCTAACTGGCCTGAGATGGTATCTCATTGTGGTTTTGATTTGCATTTCTCTAATGACCAGTGATGAGCTTCTTTTCATATGTTTGTTGATTGCATAAATGTCTTCTTTTGAAAAGTGTCTGTTCATATCCTTTGCCCACTTTTTGATGGGATTGCTTCTCTTCTTGTAAATTTGTTTAAGTTCTTTGTAGATTCTGGATATTAGCCCTTTGTCAGGTGGATAGATTGCAAAAATTTTCTACCATTCTGTAGGGTGCCTGTTCACTCTGATTACAGTTTCTTTTTCTGTGCAGAAGCTGTTTAGTTTAAAGATCCCATTTGTCAGTTTTGGCTTTTGTTGCCACTGCTTTTGGTTTTTTAGTCATGAAGTCTTTGCCCATATTGATTTTGGACTGAGATGATGGGGTTTTCTAAATATACAATTGTGTCATCTGCAAACAGACACACTTTGACTTCCTCTCTTCCTATTTCAATACCCTTTATTTATTTATTTTTTCTTGCCTGATTGTTCTGGCCAGAACTTCCAATACTAAGTTGAATAGGAGTGGTGAGAGAGGGCATCCTTGTCTTGTGCCAGTTTCCATAGGGAATGCTTCCAGTTTTTGCCCATTCAATATGATATTGGCTGTGGGTTTGTCATAAATAGTTATTATTTTGCAATACGTTCCATCAATACCTAGTTTGTTGAGAGTTTTTAGCATGAAGGGCTGTTGAATTTTGTCAAAGGCCTTTTCTGCCATCTATTGAGATAATCATGTGATTTTTGTCCTTGGTTCTGTTTATGTGATGGATTATGTTTACTGATTTGCGTATGGTGAACCACACTTGCATCCCAGGGATGAAGCTGACTTGATCATGGTGGATAAGCTTTTTGATGTGCTGCTGGATTCGGATTACCAGTATTTTATTGAAGATTTTTGCATTGATGTTCATCAGGGATATTCGCCTGAAATTTTCTTATTTTGTTGTGTTTCTGCCAGGTTTTGGTATCTGGGTGATGCTGGCCTCATAAAATAAGTTAGGGAGGAGTCCCTCTTTTTCCATTGTGTGGAATAGTTTCAGAAGGATTGGTACCAGTTCCTCTTTGCACCTCTGGTAGAATTCGGCTGTGCATCCACCCAGTCCTGGACTTGTTTTGGTTGGTGGGCTATTATTTCCTCAATTTCAGAACTTGTTATTGGCCTATTCAGGGATTCGACTTCTTCCTGGTTTAGACTTGGGAGGGTGTTATGTGTCCAGGAATTTTTCCACTTCTTCTAGATTTTCTAGTTTACTGGCACAGAGGTGTTTATAGTGTTCTCTGATGGTAGTTTGTATTTCTGTGGGATCAGTGGTGATATCCCCTTTATCATTTTTTCTTCTGTCTTTTATTCTTCTCTCTTTTCTTCTTTATTAATTTGTGCTAGCAGTCATATCTATTTTGTTGATCTTTTCAAAAAATCAGCTCCTGGATTCACTGATTTTGAAAGGTTTCTCGTGTCTCTATCTCCTTTAGTTCTGCTCTGATCTTAGTTATTTCTTGTCTTCTGCTAGCTTTTGAATTTGTTTGCTCTTGCTTCTCTAGTTCTATTTTGTGATGTTAGGGTGTTGATTTTAGATCTTTCCTGCTTTCTCTCATGGGCATTTAGTGCTATAAATTTCCCTCTAAACACTGCTTTAGCTGTGTCCCAGAGATTCTGGTACGTCATGTCTTTGTTCTCAGTGGTTTCAAATAACGTATTTATTTCTGCCTTAATTTCATTATTTACCCAATAGTCCTTCAGGAGCAGGTTGTTCAGTTTCCATGTAGTTTGTGGTTTTGAGTGAGTTTCTTAATCCTGAGTTCCAATTTGATTGCACTGTGGTCTGAGAGACTGTTATGATTTCCATTTTTTGCATTTGCTGAGGAATGTTTTACTTCCAATTATGTGGTCAATTTTAGAATAAGTGTGATGTGGTGCTGAGAAAAATTCTGTTCATTTGGGGTGGAGAGTTCTGTAGATGTCTATTAGGTCCTCTTGGTGCAGAGCTGAGTTCAAGTCCTGAATATCCTTGTCAACTTTCTGTCTCATTGATCTGTCTAACGTTGACAGTGGGGTGTTCAAGTCTCCCATTATTATTGTATGGGAGTCTAAGTCTCTTTGTAGGTCTC